GTATGTGTATGTGTGTGAAGTCATTTGATCCCTACATACAAGCGCATGCTTCGTACGTGAGTGTATGCTTGCACCGCCGCACAGACGTTTAATATGTCTGCATATATGCGTGAAAGTAGAATGTGGATGTGCATATACGTAGCTGGGTAGATATTGAAAAGTCTATATACTTGCGTATTTGTATGTGAGTGCATACGAGTAGGCATGTTATTAAATGAGTGTGTATGTTCATCTGACAGGAACATGCGGATGCTTAGACTGTCTATACGCCCCACGGTATCTATGGCTGCTTACAGATTGCGAGACCCATACTGCATGCCCAGCACACGAGCACAATACCAGCCTATATTTTAATGCGCAAGTATAAAACATGCGTACAAGCATATGCACATGGAATAGTGCGCACACATACATGTAAGTATATAATACACACGTGTACAAGTAGAGATATACAGATGGATATGTGTACAAGCATATGCACATGCAATAGTGCGCACACATACATGTCAGTATATAACACTCACGTATTCAAGTAGAGACATACAGATGCATATGTGTACAGTCATATGCACATGGAATAGTGCGCACACATACATACCAGCATATAACACTCACGTATTCAATTAGAGATATACAGATGTATATATGTACAAGCATATGCACATGAAATACTGCACATACATACATATACAAGTAGAGATATACAGATGTATATGTGTACAAGCATATGCATATGGAATAGTGCACATACGTACATATCAGTAAATAGTACACGTATACAAGTAGATATCTACAGATGTATATGCGTGTTGGCAATGCAAGGCAGTTCTGTGACATGCGTGTATGTAATTCTACTCACAAAACTCACCCAAATCACAGCTGAAGTTGAGGTAATTATAGATATCAGCGGTGTTTGTGAGCGACACTTGCTGGACCGGCCCGTTAAATTGAAGGAATATGCAATCTTCCGCATCCCAATCCTAAAGTAGGTAAAAGATGGATTTTTTTCATAATTTTGGTATTTTCGCGGTCCGAAACTGGATTTAATAATTGTGCAATCTCCAAAGTCCCAATGCTGAATATATGTACTGTTTGGGATTCGCTTTTTTTTTGTAGTTCAGCGGTTCGAAACTGAGTTAAAGGAATTTACAATCTTCAACGTAACAATCCTGAACAAATTGATTCAAGGTTTTGAGCTACAATTTCCTACAGGCTTCAACGTTTCAAAAATGGATTGAAGCACTATGCAATCTTCAATGTCCCAATCCTGAATTGGTATAGGGTCTGGGGGTTTGGGGTTTGAGGTTTCTGGGCTGTTAGGATTTCAGCGATTCGCAACAGAAACGATCCGAATTGGATGCGGAAAATAGGAAAGATAACGAGGAATGTCCTCGTTACGATGTACCCAGCGGTTTCTATACAGGACGATTCAGAAAGACAAAGGACCAGACATGGGAGCTTGGGAAACTGAAGACTGTTCTAAATCTCGTATTCAATTGACTTGGTAACGTCACCCAAACAAACAATGGCAGATGCTGAGAATAGGCGGGAAATTTAACGCAATGTACCACAACACACCGCACAAGAACAACAACTCGAAAACACGACACTCCATCACAAGCCTCGCCTGCATAAGGATTCAGATGCAGCACACGAAGGTATACAAGGCAACTTTTCCTAAAGCTAGTCAACACAGATGAAGATATACAAAAACTTAACCCTAAACCTTAACCCTGAAACCCTAAAAACCCGAAAACAAACCTTAAAACCCTAAAGGTAATTAACACATCTCGATGATACGGAGGACACAGACCTTGACCACATCACTTTTGCAGTCCTTTGCCTTTGCCGCAATCAGGGACGGTGCGTCGTTGAGTGTTGTTATTCTATAAATAGCTTCATCCCACCTGACCTTGCCCGTTGTGGGTTGTACCGAGAATCTGGCGAAATGGATAGGTAGGTTTATAAGCCAACCGGAGAACAGTATATAACCATGGCACACTCCCCACAAACGAGATAGGACAGGACTAAGCTGAGTATACATATTAGATCATGGCAAGTACAAGGTACAGAGCTCTTGGCGTCTATATGCTAGAGCTATCCATAGGAGAACCAGTGGGAGGGCAGAGGGTACAGCTACACATGCTTCACCAGTACAATACAAACAGGTCCATATGTGCACATAACTGTCTATAATTAGCGCTACACTGATATTTAGTGTACAACGATTGGTGGTCTATCTTGCGTGAATCGTGTGACGTTGAACGCGACATGTGGTTGGACCTGACACCTGTCCCGCCCTAATAGCACACGGTACGGTGCAGTGCTGTGAACTGGACTATACCTTCATATCGCTTTTCTAAAACCCTAAACCCTAAATGATCCGACTCTACACCCATAGGCCGTACATCCACAATGGCATACGATGGTCCGTGGTCATAACTTACGTGAATTGTGTGACGTTGAAGGACGCTGGGGCGTTGTAGTACAGGCATTGGTCCAGCCCTAGCAGCACATGTCCTGGTGCAATCGCCGTGGTAGGGGTCTCCGGTTGGGCAGTGGACGACTCCAGAAACAACAGGCCCACTTTCGGAATGGTGAGGACAGTTATATTCACGTCACTCCCGTCAGGTATATATAACAGATCAAAGCATATCCTAGTGGCGATGTGATGCAACAGAATAAACGCATTACATCACAGAGTCAACGTATTCGGTACGTTTACACAGTCGTACTCATTCCCTGCTCAGTTGGTCCCGTACATCTTTTTTGTAGATCCTTTGTACCTGGTAAATATATAACTAAGTGCTCTGTAGAGGTCGACCGGACAGATAGTCGTTATGAGCGTAGGCACAAAAAATACTTTCCAGGAAAATCAGATCACCGTCTTTGGGCGTATATACAAGTAACAAACAATGGATATATATCAAGCTAACATTCTTGGATAATATCTAATGGACTATATGAACACTCCTGAACATATGTCCCTTCTCCATAGCTCTATGGAACCCCGTGGGAGCGTTGTAGGCGCGAGGAGTCACAACGCCCGAGAAAACGTAGCCATCCAAATGTATATATATATATATATACAACACAGACTAAAAACAGACAGACCCAACAAACATCCTATAGATAATCAGCGCATTGAAGTATACGTACACTCGCAGATACACGTTCACTACTCACTGCCCTGTGGTACCCTGTGAGACCGTTGCAGTGGCGAAGTGAGACCGTTGCAGTGGCGAAGTGAGACACGGAGCGGATTCTGATGATGCTCATAATGACGTCCATGTGTGCCTATACATATCACCAGACCCACGTACAGCCCCAATAAACAAGCAAACACCTATAACAACCAGCACAATAGAGTCTATGTACACTGCAAGACACACGCCAACCCCCTACTCACTGCTCTATAGAACCGCGTGGGACCGTTACAGCGATGAGCGGAGACACCGAGCTGATGCCCTGCACGCTGACATTGGCGCCCATGTTCCCGTTGTGCACGCGCGCGCTTTTCGGCGTCGCGAGAATGTCATGACCATTCGCGTAGGGGTTGGAGACCACCCTGAAGACCAGGTCCTCGCCATCGGCTTGGATGGAGGTGTCACTGTCGTCGTCAAATGATATGTATGACACGAGCCCTGAGGTGGTGTGTGTGCATGGTAGATGCCCAGGAGTCGTGGGTTAGTGTATTGCAAATAAGTTGACGTGTGCAGTGTATGTAGTGTGTGTAGTGTATGTAGTGTGTGTAGTGTATGTAGTGTGTGTAGTGTATGTAGTGTGTGTGGTGTATGTACATGGTAGGTGCCAGGGAGTGGTGGATTAGAGTATTGCAACTATTTATACATTTGTATAGTAGGTACAATAGAGAATATATCAGAGCATTGCCACTAGTATGACAAGTGCAGCATGAGCGTTCTTTTTATGTCAAAAACTTAAACACCAGAATACTGCGATGAGCTGTGCTGGTGCACTATGGATGTATGCCAGATACTTAGAAAGTAGGGACCTATTTATATATTTATATATAATTATATATACATATATATATTCATATACAAA